AAAACCCGGGAAAATGGGGAAAAAGGGGAAAAAATGGGAAAAAATGGGGAAAAATCGGGAAAAAATGGGGAAAAATGGGGAAAAATCCGGGTGTATTCCCCCCACGGTGAGGGAAAAAACCGGGAAAAATCCTGGGACAAATCCCGGGAAAACGGGAAAAATCCCGGGAAAACGGGAAAAATCCCGGGAAAAACTGGGAAAAATCCCGGGAAAATGGGAAAAACGGGAAAAATATGGGAAAAAATGGGGAAAAATGGGGAAAAATGGGGAAAAAATGGGGAAAAATGGGGAAAAATGGGGAAAAAATGGGGAAAAATGGGGAAAAATGGGGAAAAAATGGGGAAAAATGGGGAAAAATCCGGGTGTATTCCCCCCACGGTGAGGGAAAAAACCGGGAAAAATCCCGGGAAAAACCGGGAAAAATCCCGGTAAAACGGGAAAAACAGGAAAAAAATGGGGAAAAATGGGGAAAAATGGGGAAAAAATGGGGAAAAATTGGGAAAAAATGGGGAAAATCTGGGTGTATTTCCCCCACGGTGAGGGGAAAACCAGGAAAAATCCCGGGAAAAAACAGGACAAAACAGGGAAAAACCAGGAAAAAGCGGGAAAAAACGGGAAAAATCCAGAAAAAACTGGGGAAAAACACAGAAAAACCGGGAAAAATCCCGGGAAAAATGGGGAAAAATCCGGGTGTATTCCCCCCACGGTGAGGGAAAGAAACGGGAAAAATCCTGGGAAAAATCCCGGGAAAAATGGGGAAAATATGGGGAAAAATGGGAAAAATCCCGGAAAAATACGGGAAAAATCCTGGGAAAAATCCCGGGAAAAACTGGGAAAAATCCCGGGAAAATGGGAAAAACGGGAAAAATATGGGAAAAAATGGGGAAAAATGGGGAAAAATTGGGAAAAAATGGGGAAAAATGGGGAAAAATCCGGGTGTATTCCCCCCACGGTGAGGGGAAATCCTGGGAAAAATCCTGGGAAAAATCCCGGGAAAAACCGGGAAAAATCCCGGGAAAAACCGGGAAAAATCCCGGTAAAACGGGAAAAACAGGAAAAAAATGGGGAAAAATGGGGAAAAATGGGGAAAAAATGGGGAAAAATGGGGAAAAATCCGGGTGTATTTCCCCCACGGTGAGGGAAAAAACCGGGAAAAATCCCGGGAAAAAACAGGACAAAACAGGGAAAAACCAGGAAAAAGCGGGAAAAAACGGGAAAAATCCAGAAAAAACTGGGGAAAAACACAGAAAAACCGGGAAAAACCGGGGAAAAATCTGGAAAAAACCAGGAAAAACCAGGAAAAATCTGGAAAAAATCGGGGAAAAATCCGGAAAAAAACAGGAAAAAACCCGGAAAAACCGGGAAAAATCAGGGAACAACCGGGGAAAAATCTGGAATAAAACAGGAAAAATCAGGGAAAAATCCGGAAAAAACGGGAAAAACCGGGAAAAATCGGGGGAAAATGCGGAAAAAATCCGGGAAAAACTGGGAAAAATCCGGATTAAAACAGGAAAAACTGGGAAAAATGCGGAAAAAAACCAGGGAAAACTGGGAAAAATGGGGAAAAATCCAGAAAAACCGGGAAAAATACGGAAAAACCTGGGGAAAAATCCGGAAAAAAACAGCAAAAACCGGGAAAAACCGGGGAAAAAACGGGGAAAAATCTGGAAAAAACCAGGAAAAAACATGGAAAAACCTGGAAAAATCGGAGGAAAACCGGGGAAAAATGTGGGAAAAACTGGGAAAAATCGGGGAAAAACCAGGGAAATATGCGGGAAAAACCAGGAAAAAACCGGGAAAAACCGGGGAAAAACCAGGACAAAACAGGGAAAAACCAGGAAAAACCGGGAAAAAGCGGGAAAAACCGGGAAAAATCCGTAAAAAAACAGGAAAAAACACAGAAAAACCGGGAAAAATCGGGGAAAAATGCGGGAAAAACCAGGAAAAAACAGGGAAAAATCTGGGAAAAATCCGGAAAAAAACAGGAAAAAACCAGGAAAAACCGGGAAAAATCCGGAAAAAAACAGGAAAAAACCGGGAAAAATTGGGGAAAAATCGGGGAAAAATGCGGGAAAAAGCGGGAAAAATCCGGAAAAAAACAGGAAAAAACACAGAAAAACCGGGAAAAACCAGGGAAAAATCTGGAAAAAACCGTGAAAAATCCGGGAAAACCCGGGGAAAAAGCGGGAAAAATCCGGAAAAAAAACAGGAAAAAACACAGAAAAATTGGGGAAAAATCTGGAAAAAACAGGAAAAACCGGGAAAAATCTGGAAAAAGACAGGAAAAAACATGGAAAACCGGGAAAAATCGGGGAAAAATCTGGAAAAAACCAGGAAAAACTGGGAAAAATCGGGGAAAAACCAGGGAAAAATGCGGGAAAAACCAGGAAAAAACATGGAAAAACCGGGGAAAAACCAGGGAAAAACTGGGGAAAAATTCTGAAAAAACTTGGAAAAACCGGGAAAAATCGGGGAAAAATGCGGGAAAAACCAGGAAAAAACATGGAAAAACCGGGGAAAAATGCGGGAAAAACCAGGAAAATTCTGGAAAAAACCAGGAAAAAACCGGGAAAAACCGGGGAAAAACCAGGACAAAACAAGGAAAAACCAGGAAAAATTAGGGAAAAACTGGGGAAAAACGCGGGAAAAATCCGTAAAAAACCAGGAAAAAACACAGAAAAACCGGGGAAAAACCGGGGACAAAACAGGGAAAAACCAGGAAAAATCAGGGAAAAACTGGGGAAAAAAGCGGGAAAAACAGGAAAAAAACAGGAAAAACCGGGAAAAATCCGGAAAAAACCAGGAAAAAACATGTAAAAACTGGGAAAAATCGGGGAAAAATCTGGAATAAACCAGGAAAAACTGGGAAAAACTGGGGAAAAACCAGGGAAAAATGCGGGAAAAACCAGGAAAAAACATGGAAAATCGGGGAAAAACCGGGGAAAAACTTGGGAAAAATTCTGAAAAAACTTGGAAAAACCGGGAAAAATCCGTAAAAAACCAGGAAAAAACACAGAAAAACCGGGAAAAATCGGGGAAAATCTGGAATAAACCAGGAAAAACAGGGAAAAATCGGGGAAAATCTGGAGTAAACCAGGAAAAAGTGGGAAAAAGCGGGGAAAAACCAGGGAAAAATGCGGGAAAAACCAGGAAAAAACATGGAAAAACCGGGGAAAAACCAGGGAAAAACTGGGGAAAAATTCTGAAAAAACTTGGAAAAACCGGGAAAAATCGGGGAAAAATGCGGGAAAAACCAGGAAAAAACATGGAAAAACCGGGGAAAAATGCGGGAAAAACCAGGAAAATTCTGGAAAAAACCAGGAAAAAACCGGGAAAAACCGGGGAAAAACCAGGACAAAACAAGGAAAAACCAGGAAAAATTAGGGAAAAACTGGGGAAAAACGCGGGAAAAATCCGTAAAAAACCAGGAAAAAACACAGAAAAACCGGGGAAAAACCGGGGACAAAACAGGGAAAAACCAGGAAAAATCAGGGAAAAACTGGGGAAAAAAGCGGGAAAAACAGGAAAAAAACAGGAAAAACCGGGAAAAATCCGGAAAAAACCAGGAAAAAACATGTAAAAACTGGGAAAAATCGGGGAAAAATCTGGAATAAACCAGGAAAAACTGGGAAAAACTGGGGAAAAACCAGGGAAAAATGCGGGAAAAACCAGGAAAAAACATGGAAAATCGGGGAAAAACCGGGGAAAAACTTGGGAAAAATTCTGAAAAAACTTGGAAAAACCGGGAAAAATCCGTAAAAAACCAGGAAAAAACACAGAAAAACCGGGAAAAATCGGGGAAAATCTGGAATAAACCAGGAAAAACAGGGAAAAATCGGGGAAAATCTGGAGTAAACCAGGAAAAAGTGGGAAAAAGCGGGGA